AGAATCAATATGCTTGAAGTTACAGCGATTTGAAAAAAATTTTCGCAAGTGCCCGGAAACTTTCTTTACAACCTAATAGTTTCATTCCTTTGGACAAATAATCATATGAGCAGCCGCTGAGGTAATGACTTATGTGATCCCTCCCCCTTATGTAAGATTACTGGTACCCATTTGCTTGAGGCTTTTGACCGAAAAAGAAGAAATCGAAACCAAAGAGCAATCTTATGATCAGAGGCAAATATAACCTAAAAGTGCAAAAATGGCTTTGGGAATCCCCCACCCCTTCTTCGAGCCCTATCAACCTTACATAGTTCAATCGTACTTCCTTTCATATGACTGAGAAGAATCCGTAAACAATATGCTTTGTTGTGAGTAAAAAGTGCAACCAGCTGCTCTAGATGTCCATGTTCCCATAGTGCTTTGTTCTGTCCTTGTCATAGTCTCCGGCATTCATCTGCCCTAGGCCATATGGCCCCAAGATGAGCTCTCTGTCAGTCGGAATTTGGCTTTTTTGGCTTTCTCCTAAGTTGACATATGTGACATATGCCACAAGCCATATGTACTAGGTGAATGTCATATCACACAACAGCATAGCGCACCCGTTGTAAACATAGCTAGCTGTTTTGAATGTCTTTGTCCTTTTTTCTCTTTCTCAGGTTTGCAGAGTGCCGTTATAGGAAGTTTGCAAGTAATTAATCTAATTCTGTGTAAATTTTGTCGATCAGAATAGATTCATGTGATGATATCTTTATGGAAGAGGGCTCGGCACGAAGTGGCTCCCGAATATGCAAAAAACGAAGTCCCCTCTGACTTTCGCAAAATTTTACGAACTCCCCTTCGATCCAAAATTGGAAACTGTGACTAAACAAACCTAACTTACGATCTCTTTGCTTTTTGTCTCGAAAACGAAATCCAGCTTGCCTATAAGCAACCATTGCTGAGTTTGGGGATTCTACGAGGCACAATGCTGTCATTGACGCTGACGAATAATTATTTTTGAGTCAAATACTTCCTTCAAATTCATTATGCTCTCCTTGTCCAGACTTTACGCTGTACTGATGAAAATGTCATCAAAATAATCTCCTCCAAAATTTGCGGGTATGAAGTAAGTTACTGATTATCTCAGTTGCTACAAACTGTTACATACTTTATCTAAATGTGTACTTCTTTCAACAAAACATTACGTCAGCTATGACCTAGATATTGTTACAAACGTGTTCTATGCTACAACATCCAATTTTATCTTATTTAAACACAGTTTACATCCCTATTTTTTAAAGTTATCAGCGAACCTCTTAGAAATCTCGAGGTATGTGTTGCTCATTCTTCTTCGGCTTTGTTCTTGAAAACTTAATTCTCTGCTCTCTGCAGTGTATCCATCTCCTTGTGTATCTTTTCTGCATATCGTAGGTTTATGGTGATCCTAAGTGCATACACAGGGTATCTGTCTCCGTTAACTTACTAGAATATTCTAGCATCCATTATATCACTCCAAAGCGGAAGCTTTGATTGTTGTAAAAAATAGATTATCACTTTTGAGAATACTAAACCTGTTACAATTAGATGATGTTTTATCCACTTTATCTCTCAGACATGGTCATGATTTGCCCCTGATCAGGCCAAAGATTTTGCAGTTCTAAAGGTAATGGACTGCTTTAGGTAATGCTTTGTTATCTACTTCTGAAATTCCTAAGATTTTTGGAAGGGGAACGCAACAATCAGCAGATCACGTGTCGGAAGTTCATCCTTCTTACGACTGCTTATAAGCCAAGCACATAGATTTTATCATTCTTGCATTTTCTATAATTTGTGTTAGCAATTCTCCGCAAACTCTAAAAACACACAGTGTTGAGAACTTTACCCACATTTCTCTGTTTTGTTCCTTCCATTGAACCTACATAGAAAACATGTTATTCCCGAAATTACCATTAGAGAGAAACGCACACTTGAGATATCCGAGAAATCAAATAGTCATGACAAAAGGAAAGATTATTCGAAAATACTTGGATGTATTTTAAGCGAAGAAAACAACATTTTGATGTAGGAAACAGCCGATCCATGACTGGAGAAAAAGAGAATCATGCCGCTATTCTGAACTTTTGAGCAGCAATAATTTTCAGCCGAGCTAATTCAAACACTTTTACTTGGCACGATGTTTAGAAATCTTTCACCTCGCAACTCTTGCACTAATTTGTCCCCTGATTCAATAGTAATAATGGGCTGTGTAGTCTGCAAGAAGTTCTTATACGGGATTACAGTCGGGGCTCACTAATTGCCAAGAATACTCGACGTGCGCTAGTTATGCGAACTTCGTAATACTTACACCGTTGTACAAACAGCTGCTACGGCGAGAAAACACCTCCAATGTTTTCGGAACGTGTGCGGTTTTACGTTACAAACCATTATTCTCGGCAGTGATGCTATTTTAGATCCTGTGTATAGCCAAGTGTCCAAAGTTTTGGTGGAAATTGTAAGTAAAACGAGGTAATATTTATTAAAAAATTGCAGTACCTTATTGAACAGCTCTCATTTTTTTCAGAATTTACTTTGTCTATTGGATGAAAAATACAAATATGGCATTCATACCACACTTAACAGCTACCCCTACTACATCTTTAGGTGTGCATCATCACTGTAGTACTGAAATAAATTTGAAAGCACTGATATTGTCATTCCTTTATTATTTCCTTTTTTCTTCCTCCCGTGTAGTTTTACATTATGTTAGTATCAAATAGAAATTACTATAATGAATGAAAGTAGTTCAGTTTATTACTGCACGTGAAAATTTGCCATTATGAAAGAAAAATGATTTAATTTTGATCTCTTTCTTCTTTCTTCCAGCTTTGAAACTTTTTTGTGGGAGAGAAAGCCTGAAATCATATAAAAATCTCTAACTTTGCTGTCTGAAGGATTTTTTATGTTAATTGGATTTTTTAAGCGAAATATTGACATTTCAATCCAGATGACTACCCTACTACCCGTTTATGATTCGTATAGATAATAGAGGCAGTTTGTAAAACAAAATGATATTCGTTCAAATCGATTCATAAAATATTTTGAAGGAAGATGTATTGAATAGAAAGTCTTTTATATCAGTTTTCATGGGAAGATTTCCAACTTCATTTATTTTTTCTTATTTTTTGAAACCTTACGCATTATCAGGAAAGTGTTTCAGAACGTTCGAAAACTCAAACTAGGTTTTTAGAAATTACTTCCATAATCTCCATTTATTCAATAAAGTTTTTGGTGATTAACTCACTGGAATCCTAGAATGAAAAAGTGGTTATGAAAGAGGAAATTGTTCTGTCATTCACAAAAAAATTTCTGTTTTTCCCTTCCCTCCCTCCCCCATCCCGCAAAATTTTTTCGCACCTTCACCAGGGCTCAGCACAGGTGGCTTGTAAGCAAGTTGGATATCGTTTTTGAGGTTAATAAAAACACGAAAATTGCGAAGATTTTTTTAGTCGTTTTTTGAAGATTTTTTCACGTTTGGGGTTTAGGGTTAAGGAGGACCTCGTTTTGTGCATTTTTCAAAAGCCATCTCGTGCCGAGCCTTGACCTCCACTTTCAGCGATGATCCGTAACCATTTCATTGGGTGGTCTATATGATAAGCTATCATGCGATCCTGTCGAGCACATCAAGAATGGATGTACTGGACTACCGTAATCCTATCGTAATACAATTAGTAATTAAAACTAGTTATTAGAACTTTATGGAGCCTGTAGAAGAAAAGGTATCAAATCTTAAAGCAACCTCTGAACTCATCAGCAGTGGCTAGAAATTAGAAGCCAAATAAGCAAAGCAATAAATCTCCGAAATCAAAGTCTCATTCTCGAACATTTAACAAGTGAAAGATATCCCGACCATGTGCCATGATTAATTTCGTACATAGAGTTGTTCCTCGAATTTCACTACCTGATTGTCTGCCAACACTCACTTGTCGTGATTAATTGCTGCATGTAGAACTAAGAGTTTTTATCCGCACACTTCTGGCTGTTTACGGAATCTTCAAACGAAGATCTATGAACGAGTCATACATACGGTAGGTGGAGCACATTTTTCAACTGTATTGGACTGTATAAGGCCTAAAATGATATAAAAGGTGGCTGAGAGGGCGTTTCTTCTCATTGCTCAAGTGCGTTTCGTTCATTTTGATAATTTTCTGTGAAAATCGTCCCTGAATAATTTGTACCCCCTTTAGTTCCCAAATACTAAAGTCATGCTCCCTTCGATAATCATGTCAGGGTTGTTTTTCGGCCGCACTAGCTTCCCTCGACTAAGCTCATGAAGTATAGCTTTAGGCGGACGAAGCTATGAGAGGCTTTCCGTACAAATCCCTGATCATGAGGGGAACATATGACTTTAGTGCATGGAGATTTTGTGCTATTTTTGTTGGAATTAAGCTTGGACCCCATGAAAGGCACCATATTTTTGGAAAACAGAAATAGCTGAGTTTGACAGAGAAACAATCAGAATCCATGTATGAGGGTCCGTAAAAACCACTTTTTGAAGAGGAAAGAGGACCTAAAATCTAAGATATTCAGGACTGTTCGTCCCAAAAAACGGATCTGTAATGCTTTTCCGAAATAACCAAAACAATCTGGAATCAAGTTTCTGGTCTTCATCTTTTGGAATTTTGCCAAAATTTTTGGTGCAAAAGGCTCGCACAGTGATGAAATACTGCCAATTCTTGAAGTTAACCGATCATTTTTACTCATTTTTTTGGCTGTAGGAGATTTTTATTTTGGAAAGCTTTTTCATTGTGGTGCTGAAACTACGGGCAAAAATTCTGAGATTATATCTTTCAAGAACTTCTTAATCAACAAATTGTAGATGTCTTTTTCAAAAAAAAAATCCGACTTCAAATTACTCTTTTAAAAATATTATATTTCCATCTAAAAAATCTTTTTGAAATTTTTGCATTTTCCTCTGTCTTAGCCAAAATCTCAGCTCTATCGCGTATTCAAAAAACTGCTCAGATATTTTTTTCGCATTTTTCAGGAATATCTCACAGCTGCTTTAACTAGGAACATTATGACAATTAACGCACGCCGATTACCAGGCCATCTTCATCCAATTAGACGCAGAGCAGGTATCAAAAATATACAATTTTATTGATTTGGAAATTAAATAAATGGAGAAATCTAAAATGATTATGAAAGAAAAAATTATTTTCAACCTAATGCTATAGAAGGAAAAATGAATAATTTCTTCTACTCATCTTCTCACAAGCGAAACCCGAACCATTGTTGCGAGGAAGTTATGTAAACCCTTCATAACTTTAGAGCTAAATTGGTCCCGCAACTTTTTGATTGCAAAACCGCAACGAGATTTTCGATTTAAGACGGCTTCTCACGCTATTGAGAAGCAATTCCTTGCCCAGCTCGATGGAAAACACTGACCTTGAAGTGCAAATTTCCTTGCACTGGCTCGTTCAGCTTTTCTGAACATAACAACATTCTCAGAATAGCTTGTGAAACGATAAACAGATAGGACAAGATCGTGATGACTGCTAATAAACCTAATAAGGGCGGGGGTGTAGTAATTTATTTGGTGGCCATCAGCTTGAATGGGATAAATTGCTTTTTATGGAGCTCTATCTAGCTTGAGATTCTGTTGGTGAAGCTTACCCTTGTATACTCTATTCCATCCTTCAATACTGAAAAGTAATAATACTAATTGTCTTTGTTACTTTACTTTTCTTAGAAAAAATGTATGTTATGATTTTCTGAGTCTTGACTCGAACTTCTCAATAGGAAGGACAGCTTGGAACCGCCAATATCTTCTACAATGACTTTAATAGAATTTTCGTGATTTCCATTGCAGACGATATAAAGCACATTTTATCACTTGCCTAGATTGAAACTGCATAGATTGAAACTATAAGAAATCATTTCATCTGCATAAATTTTTTCCCGCTAGATGTCGCAAGAATAGTATATTGGGAAATTTTGTGTTTTCTTCAAATTTTCTGGAAATTTTTCAGTAAGTACGCTTCATATAGAAAATTGCTACTATTCCAAGGGAGCCGAGAGAACGGGAGCGCGTGAGGAGAGGGGAGGCTGAGAAGAGTAAACTCCTTGAAAATATTAAGAATATACTGATGTATTGTAAACTATTATTATTAATGTTTTTTTTCTTGAAAATCCAGCTAGACCTAAACTAGACACGATAAAAATTTATTGTCTTTTGATTTCGGTCTCCAAATAGACTTCTGATTTTGATTTATATTCCCTGCTTATGTGGCACGCCTTAGAGCGTATTGAATGAATAAATAAATAAATAAAAACAAATAAATAAATAAACAGCGAATTATTGATTTATTTATTTCATTTCAGAAATTTCATTATTTGTGATTTTTGTCCGTCTCAAAATCATAAGATTATTTTGGAAAATCTTGTTTCGCATCTCATGGATTATCCCCGTAATCTCAACCCAAGCTTTAGTCTTCAACTATTTTAGACCTTAATCTTCGTCTCCGCAAAAATCAAAAAATCCCTTTCTGCAATATTTTGAAATACTTTTAGACTGTAAATCTTATCGAAAACTGCATATATGTTTTCTGTAAGTTTTTATAAATCGCTCACATGCCGCCGAAATCGATGCCATTACATAGCCCATCTGTTGAAACAGAAATTAGATTCATAAAAACTAACAAAACGCGTCATAATCAGATTTTATGGACGCCAATTCTCATCGTTTTGCGGCAATTGTTCCTGCTTTTCCGTTTCGGCTTGCTTGCGATTTTCCTTCCTTGTTTTTTCTTGAAGAAAGCTGTAAAAAATTTTCAGTTTCAAATGCATTTTATAAGCAAGAAGCTCGAAGAGATTGCAATAGTGCGTAAGCCAAGATGCTAGTAAGTTTGCTATAGTGCCGAAATTTCTAGCAGATTTGACGGATCCCACAATGTTTTTGGGGTTGGGCGGGGAGAGGGGGGGGGGGGTACGGCTAAATTTGAAAAGAATGGGTGCTCAACAGTTTCTGCGCATGAAAAAATTTTTTGAGATTGAATGTAACTCTACGATTTTCATGAAATTATTCCTAACAGAAAGAACAGAAAACATTGCTTTCCACTCTCTTCTCCTACTCCCCCCCCCCCTCACCTCCGGTTTGCCGCTTAGGGACCATTTTCTACCTACACATTTGGCAAACCTTTACTTAGAACTTAGAAACGATAAAATACGGACATCAAAGGCTCCAGCTGCGTTCTCTGCTCAATCAGACGAAAATGCGCCTGTTCCTCCCATTAAATGAACAAAACAAGCCATCAGACGAAGGCGTTTGGCCTCACTGATGGCTCATTCGGGGCTCCCATAAATTCTTTTCCCGCTTTCCGCTCACACCAGATGTGATTTCACTTGTTGACAGGAGCACACTTCTCCTTCTCTCCCCCCCCCTCTCCCTCCCCATTTGCTATTGCTCATATTGTTGTTGTGTCCCTGAGCTATGTGGTGCATGCATGTTTTTTGTTGTTCGTTTGTTGTTCTACTTGGGCGCCGTGCAAAAAGGTTGTTGCTATGAGTAGGATAGAGCTGTTTACTCCATAGAGCAAGCAGAAGGCTGGAAAAGATTATTGTAGCACTAGCTGGCTTACCCGGCTCCGCCGTATCCGGACCAAACTTGGCACACATACACTTCGGGCCCCGGCGGGTGTCACAGTCCACTTTTCGTTATCGATCGATGTCGATTTTACCGATTTTTATCGATTTTTTGCAGAGTTCACCTACAGGGCTAGGAGTTGGCACAGGGGGGGGGGGGGTAATCGAGCATGGGGATTCCGAATACAACATTAGTTTTCAGGATCGTCCATTACTTTTATCGATTTTATCGATTTTTTTGTAAAGTTTGACCTGCGGGGCTGGGAGTTTGCACAGGGGGGTAATCGAGCATGCTGTTTACGAACACAATATTAGTTTTCAGGATCGTCCATTACTTTTTCGATTTTATCGATTTTTTGAAAATTTGAGCTAGGGGGCTGGAATTTGGCACAGGAGTGTAATCGAGCATGCTGATCACCCCCCTTGGGGATGATCAGCATGCTCGATTACCCCCCTGTGCCAACTCCCAGCCCCCTAGCTCAAACTTTGCAAAAAAATCGATAAAATCGATAATAGTAATCGATAATCCCGAAAACCAATATTGTATTCGGAATCCCCATGCTCGATTACCCCCCTGTGCGAACTCCCAGCCCCGTAGCTCAAACTTTGCAAAAAAATCGATAAAATCGATAAAAGTAATCGATAATCCTGAAAACCAATATTGTATTCGGAATCCCCATGCTCGATTACCCCCCTGTGCCAACTCCCAGCCCCGTAGGTGAACTCAGCAAAAAAATCGATAAAAATCGATAAAATCGATATCGATCGATGACGAAAAGTGGACTGTGACACCCGCCGGGGCCCGAAGTGTATGTGTGCCAAGTTTGGTCCGGATCGGTTCAGAAATGGAATTTTCTATTCGGAACATACGTACATACATACATACAGACAGACAGACAGACAGACAGACAGACAAACAGACATTCAGCTTTATATATAAGATTACTGTAGATTTCAACAACCAGAAGTAAAAGCTCTTCGCATAGAGCATATGCAACTCCTTTTAGCTTTAGAATTGAAAGTAGACACACAAGGATGAAAACGAGATACCGTCGGTCTCTGCCGTTGAAAGATTTCATGGCACGCTGAAACGGGGAAAAATAGCTTATCTTGGTCCTTTTTTTAAACTTTTGATTCGTAAAGTTTATTTTTTAGCTGGAAGTTGATGCAAGTGGGAACAAAATCACGTCCGAGTTGTTTTTTCTCTTATCAGGTAATGGAATCCCAGTGCTAGAAATTGAAGCCATGATCATTCTGGATTTTTTAGTCAAAACAAAATTGGCTTTTCAATTTTTATCTCCATCAGTTCCATAGATGTCTGCGTCTCTCGATACCGGTTGTGCCAATAACTTCTACAATTACCTGCGCGCTGGCTTTGGACCAAAAAATAATAAATAAAAATAAAATTCTTCTAGAAAAAGTTTGTACGGAATCTGCTTTTTTTTTCATGATTAGTAGATATTCATCAAAAGTCGGAAATCTTTTAAATGGCTTATGAAACTTTGTGAAAAAACTTCTCTTTGTAATCAACGAAGGGAAATTTGTAAGTATTATAATAATTCAATTTATCTGGCTTCGTAAAAATTGGTGAGTGCAACAGCCCCCTTTTTTTAGAAAATAAGGTTGTCAAAAAATCTGCGAAATCTCGAGCAAAAATTTCCGAAGGCATTGCTAATGTCAGGCCTTTCCATTTTAAAAAATTTTAATCCCTTATCGAAATCCTGAAATATATGGCTAATATCAAAATCATTTTGAAAAAAAACTTTTGTTTCTCTCCTTCATCCTCCCTAAGAACTCAAAAACAACCTCTGGGGCTACCACATGGAACTACCGGCAAAGAGAACTCTAATCATTTAGAACTCTAGGAAAACAATAGTGACAATGCACTGTTATTCCATTCCACACACACACATGCTCACACTAATCCACTTATCTTTGCCCATATACGGACCAAACGCCTAATAATCCCCAATCATGCAGTCTTACTGTACGAAAACAAACGAATTTACGGCATGTGGTCTTTCTACGAGTGATCTCTGCATAGTACTACGATTACGGGGGGGGGGCTAGCGCATGTGATACTTAATCTTTAAGAGAAACACAAAACCCGCATCATGCACGAGGGGGATGCGCGGGGGTAAACACCTGAAGGGTTGTCACACGCCGGGGGGGTGGAGAGAAGGGGAAGATCCGCAACAGGTGTCAGTTGATCTCATGCAAAATCACTGAGCGGGGGCTTTGACGGAGGAGTTGTTGACTCTTTCATGTGCCCCCCCCCCCCTCATATCATCTATCAATGACAGAAAATCCACTGTCATTAACCTGAGAGCGAAGTTCTGAAATCTGGACAACTGTCACTGCTGAATCGTCCCATTTCGTAGGTGAAATGGCATCAGATGTGTGGCTATTGACGCATATCTCATCGTCACCACCATCGACATTGGCGGACAACTAGCACTTTTCCTCGTGAAGAATTGCGTTCAGCTGTCAGTTT